TCATCACTGGGGACTCAGCTGACAATTTAGCCGAAAGGCTGAGAGCTGTTTTGCTACGTTTCCGCCAAGCGGGGCTGAAGCTTAAGCAAGACAAGTGCAAGATTGGGGTTACCTCCACGGAGTTTCTAGGATTCTGCATTGATGCTCAGGGCATCCATCCTTCTGAATCCAAGCTGCAAGCAATTCAGCAGGCCCCAAGTCCCAAATCCAAGGGCGAACTTCAGGCCTTTCTGGGACTGCTAAATTTTTACCATTCATTCCTTCCTCACAAGGCTGCAGTGGCTGAGCTGTTACACCAGCTCTTGGACAAACAGGCCCCGTGGCAGTGGACACAAGCACATGAAAAGAGCTTCAAAGAGGTCAAGGCCTTGCTCTCTTCAAATGCGGTCCTCACGCACTTCAATGAGAACTTGCCAGTGTGCATCGCCTGTGATGCGTCCCCTTATGGGATTGGGGCTGTATTAAGTCACTTGAAGGCTGATGGAATGCAAGTCCCAATAGCATACTACTCTAGAACCCTATCATCAGCTGAACGCAATTATGCACAGATAGATAGGGAAGCCTTAGCCATAGTGGCTGGCATAAAGAAGTTCCATGACTTCTTTACAGACCATAAGCCATTGCTGGGGTTGTTCACAATGAACAAACAAACCCCACACATAATATCCCCCTGAATGCTGAAGTGGTCTATCTTCCTGTCTGCATATGACCATACACTGGTTCACAAGCCAGGCAAAGAAATGGGTCATGCAGATGGTCTCAGCAGGTCGCCATTACAGCAGATAGAGGCAGATCCAGCACCTGCCAATCGCATCCTGTCTATTCAGGACTTGCCTGAATCTCCCCTCAGTGCTAGGGATGTGGCTGCAGAAACAGCCACTGATCACACGCTAACATACGTGCTGACTTGGGCATTGTCTGGATGGCCTGACACATGTCCAGGCTCAGAATTCCAGAGCTTCTGGCAGAGGAAGCACGAGATTTCCACCTTCAAGGGGTGTGTCCTATGGGGTAGCTGGGTAGTAATCCCAACCTCATTGAGGACTAGAGTCCTGCAGTCTCTGCATGAGGGACATCCGGGAATAGTCTGGATGAAGGCGTTAGTGTGCAGCCATCTTTGGTGGCCTGGGCTCGACAAAGATGTCGAGGCCCAGGTCCATGGGTGCACTGTTTGTCAACAGTCAAGGCCAGAGATGCCCCAGGCCCCAGTTCATAGGTGGGAAGAGATTCATACCCCATGGTCAAGGGTCCATATCGACTACGCTGGGCCCTTTCGGGGCAATTCTTCTTAATTCTCATGGACAGCCATTCCAAGTGGCTAGAGGTCGTGCCTGTCTCCTCCACTACCACTGCTAGGACCATCCAGGTGCTGAGAGGCATCTTCATCGAACATGGACTTCCAGATGTCCTTGTCTCCGACAACGGGCCCCAATTCACGTCGTTTGAGTTCAAGGCATTCCTCCAGGCCAGTGGTTCTCAACCTTTTTAATGCCGCGACCCCCAACCGGTTGTAAGTCGAAGACCACTCAACCGGTCGTAAGTCGAGGACTACTCAACTGGTGCAGCACTGATTGCAGAATGGGACTTTTGGCGGGCTCAGCAGGGCAGAGACAGCTTGGACAACTCCTATTGGCTTTTGAAAGCCAATAGAATTAGATTCTATTCAAGAGAGTCTATTCTATTGGCTTTCAAAAGCGAATAGAATAAAAGGGAGTAGCACAGCTAAGGAAAAGGGAAAAAAATGGTGGACTGCGTTGTTTGGTGACCCCTGTGAAATGGTCGTTCGACCCCAAATGGGGTCCGACCCACAGGTTGAGAACCACTGCTCCAGGCCAACATGATCCGGCATGCCACATCTGCACCATTCCATCCAGCTTCCAACGGCCAGGATGAACGAATGGTATGCACAACCAAGGATGCCTTAAAGAGGATCACTCACGGGATCTGGCATCACAGGCTAGCGGACTTTCTTCTGTGCCACCGCACCACACCTTGCACAGCTACTGGAAAGAGCCCAGCTGGACTCTGCTGGGGTCGCTGCCTCATCACGAAACTGGACAGATTGCACCCAGACCGGGTGGCTTCACAGGTGTCACAGTCGAGGGCACCTAGGAGACTACAAGTGGGAGATCCGGTCTGGGCAAGGAACTATGGACCAGGACATCTCTGGGTCACAGCAGTGGTATGCAAGATCTCTGGGCCGCTGTCATACAAAGTGGCCTTGGACGATGGTCGTGTGATCCGATGTCACATTGACCAACCGCGCTGGAGGCTTCCCAGCAACTCTTCCGCTCCTAGCTCTGCTCTCAGGGGGGAGGAGGACCACAATTACGATTGTGGACCACGGTCTGTCCAACATCCCCAGGCTTTAACTATTGCTCCAAACAGGGAGTCCACAGAAAGGGGGTTCGCCATGGTGGCAGCTCTGATCTCTGACACTCAGGCCACTCCAGCTGATGGTCTAGGGCTCAAGTGGCAGTGCTCCCAAGAGGAGTCCAGTGGGGACTTGGGGAATTCCACCCCACCACTGGACTTGGGGAATTCCACCCCTCCCCCAAGGAACCCTGGCTTGGATTTAGTAGATCCAGCCAGGGAGCAGCTGGGTGGGTCCCCTGGGTCTTTGGGGCAACAAAGTCCTGGTCTGCCTAGCCTGGCAGGCGAGCTGGCAGGCCAGGCACACACACCGGCCATGAGAAGATCAGGACGGGCTAGAGGTCCTTCCAAATACTTACAAGGCTATGTACGGTCCTTGTCAGTTCATGGGCAGGCCTGGTATCTGGGTTAAGTAATGCAGCTCAAGGAGAGTGGGGAGCATGGCGATAGCAAGACTGTAGTATTGTGTATATATAGATGCAACGTACACAATGTAATGGAGTGTTGGAGTATTTAAAATAATAAGTGTGCTTTATTATTTTAGCCAAGGGGGGAGGGGTGTTATGTCCTGGACTGGCAGGCACAGGCTGCAGCGATTGGCCTGGGCAGACCATGTGGATGCCCAGGACAAGAAAGGCTGCTTCCAGCCTTTGCAATGATTGGCCAGCAAGGTATTGTGCAGGGGAGCTATAAAAGGGTGCCGCACCATTTTAAAACCTGTTCTGTTGGTGTTGCAATAAAAGAGACTGTTGGAACTCATTGCTTCGTCTCAATGCCTCTTTTCCTGAAACAGAACACTAGCCTTCTTGAACAGCATCAAGATCAATTCTGCCACTGACCTGGGGATCTAAGAGTGACATGTAATCCTGAGGATTGATTGGTGGCTTGATGATATTCTGCCTTTTAAAATTTGTAACTTTTTAACCTCTTTTTATTTGTTTCACTTTGTTTCTATGTTTCTTTTATATGACTGTATGACTTTTATTTGTAAACCATCCAGACTCACTTAGGCAAGAAGAGCCGCATATAAATTTGATAAATAAATAAATGGTGGTGCATTGTAGTGAATATAATAATATTGTCAATCTGTTTGCACAGGATTCACATCTGACCCATTTCAAAATTCCTGAAGATTTGGGATGCTTCTATATTGTGTTTCCAATATATTCTGAATCAGCTTCCTACTTAGATAATTGCATTCTTTATCTTCGTGGGGAAACAGTTTTATTTTTGTTTATTCTAAAATAACTGCAGTGCATAGGAAGTCACAGTAAAGACAATCTTCTCATTTGAAATGCTGGCTGCAACTGATGAATGTACATCTACTATAGGGATATTGTTTGAAAATCTTCCCAGAAAATAAAACAGAGGCATATCTTATGCTATTTCTTTTTCTTCTATTGTTACATAACCGAGTGCATTTCTCATCAACTAAAACAAGCTTTAGCCTGTTAAAAGAGACTTTCATCTGGCAATCTATTTGAGCAGAATGGCAGAGAGATTAAATATGTGCTATTTTTCCTCAGATCAAGGTTTTGAGTCATTGGGAGATCACTCACTTTAAACAATGCTGCCAATTTTCCTCTCTACGTATTTTATTATTATAATAATAATAATCATGCTTCAGAGCTTTCTCTTCATTGTTTAATGCAACGACCAACAATTTATGTTTTTGTTTTGCAAGGACTACCTACGAAAAAAGAGTCTTGATTATTTTAATCCCGTTTTGTTCTCACTAACCCATATCCTTCCAGTCTGTGTACAAACCGCATTGTCTTAACTGCACAAAGAAAACGGGCAACTTGATGTACTATATTTGCAAGACAACTCACCCATGATTAACAGAATCTTGATTTTTTTTTTCAAAATTTTTCGAGTTCACATAATACGTTGCAAATCAGCTAACCCGTACAGTAGGCTAAAATAGGATGTTTAATATTCTGCATGGATGTGACCCTGCAAATTTCTTAGGCTCCGGACAGTGATTAACAAACACTGAATTAGGTTTCCATACAAGTTTTCCAATGCAAATTGTAAGTTCACCCCTGCCATTTACGACAAATAGCCAAGAACATCTGAATCTTCCAGAGGTATCTTCTCGCAGTTGGCCGCGCCTATGCCTTTAGTGGATGAGGTCCTCCAGCAGTTTAGACCGCGTGGAGCTGCGGAGCGCAGCACAGATGGAAGAAAGCTCGGGTGCTGAGGGACAATGAACGGCGTCATTGGGCCGGGGCAGGAGGCCATTTTCTAACAGGCGGTTCCAATGCAATCGTGCATTAACTCCTCCCACGGTTTCTCCCTACATTGGACTTGACTTGAGCTTTCAAAGCTCAAGTAGCCAATCGTTGAGCCCAAAGGGTCGATTTTCCAGCAAAAACTGTCTGGATATCAACAAGTTTTTGTATTTGGAGAGAGCACCGAGTCTGTTTACAATTAGATGACTGTCAGTGGGGCATAATCTACATCTTCATATATTAGAATGTGGTATTAACCTGGTTCTGTTGTCAATGCGCGAAGACGCGCAACACAAAACAGCTTTTCCTGTTAATAAACTACAAACCCCATAAACCAAGGCGGCAGCGGCGGGACACCACTTCTGAGCTTGCGTGTTAACTAAGTGGAGGTGGGGCTAATGCAATCAGCTTTTCCTTTTTTCAATGAATGGTTCGGGAAGATGTGTGGGCGCATGTGTTAAAGTTGTAGTTTGGTGTTCGGCGCCATGCGGTGTCTGCAGTTGTCTCTTGGGATTTTACATGTTTTTATTCTGTTTCTGTTTACTGTGTGCTGGGGCGGTAGCTCAGCAGGTGAGTGTTGTTAGGATGATTTTTCACTGATTGGAAGCAAATAGGACAGAAATATATCTCGATACAATTTTGCTGATCTATGAGATCCAGGAGTTCTTTCTACACCATCTCATTCTTGACTCTCTGGAATCAGTCATTCATTGTTCAGAGGCCAAATATCATATTGTATTCCTTTATAGGTTTCCTTTTTATTTGCCAGAGATTTGAACATTCATCTAGAGCTTGTTTCCTAACGCGTTTAACTATTCTCAATATTATACTGTTTTGCAAATAATTAAAAATACATTTACCGAGCTAAATCACTAAATTAAGATTTTTCTACGATCTGATATCCTACAGTTTATCAGATATCTTTGGCATCACGACGAATTCTAGGAGTTTTTCTCACACATCTGGAAGCATTGCTTTTTGTATATTAGAAAACAGACTGAGGAATCTTAATCATAAAAACAATATGATAGCATTTGCTTTTGTAATTTATTAGGACTGTGTAGCAATTTGACTCAATTCCAAAATAAGTGTTTTGACATAACTCGTCTAGGTCCATTTTGCGTAGCTGCATCTTTTCCTGTGCTTGCTCTTTACCTCTGAACAACTTTTTCCGAATCAAGCGTGGAGTGCTGCTAATCCCTTAAATCTACTTTTACATTTTCTGCAGATTAATTAATGAAAAAGAAAAGTTTATCCAGATAAAATTGCATCTGCAGTTTGTTTAAGCAGTAATTTAATTATTGTTGGAGTATATCCCCCCTCCCTTTGAACATTGGAGAATAGAGCTGAAGCTATTTCTGCTCACTTGTTGCCTTTAATATCTGATAACTATTGGTCCCAGCTCCTGTTGACCATGCTGACTCCGGACTATATAGTCCCACATGTCAGAAGACTCTAGAATAATGTAATGCAGCATTATTTGTAATATAAATATGTCACCACAAAAGTTTTATTCACGATTAAATGCTACTTGAGTGCTATTGCATTTAAAACCACATCATTCTGTGGGCATAAATGTAGATGCCAGAAAGGAATTTGTGTCTTGGCATGGTCACTGTGTAAATGAAGAACTTAAAAAATACATTGGTTACTCCTACATCTTATCTACTTATGCCATACGTTGAACTTTTTAATCAAAACAATACTGCGCAAATAAATTATCATTAATGCAGGTGAATTAAACCATAATTTAGAGGCAAATTTTTATAACTTTATGACTTTTATAACTTTGTCTCTAGTTTGCAAGTCCCTTTTTTTTCAGATCCAATTAATGTACCACCATTAATCTACACATCAGCTAACTCATGTTTAGCAGAACTCAGAGCAGTTTGTATGAAAAACAATACATTATTAGTCAAGGAAAAAAGAGTGAAAATAATATCCAATGTGCTAAAGATTCAAAGGAAATTAAAGAGATACAGTGATACACGAATTTTAACTACCGTAAAAATATTGCAAGACAAACATTTTAATATACTTAGCTGATATATTTAACAAGAAGTTCATAATGTATTTCCTGCAGTTACTTAATTGTATAATTTAAGGGAAAAGACTTTAATTATTTTGGGGGTTTTTGTATGCTTTCCTATCTTTCGAACAAGTAGTATTAGAGGAAAACGTGAATACTTTTATTATAAAAGTGTAAAATCCAATTCCATTCATGTTGCAAGCACAGCATTCACAGAACATACTGTATATGAAAACCTTGTAGTACTTGCATCAACAACACAGTGGAAATAATAATAACATTTGCAAAATTGTCTGTTTAAATTTTAGATGCACGCTGGAAAAAAATCCTTGTTCAAATTGATGAGGCGGTGAAGAACTACAGGCCTTGCGTGAAAGATAACTGTGAGTGCTATCAAAGGTAAGGCAAAGGTATCTTTGATGGTTCCATCCATGACTTATGTTCTGATTACCTATTTAGTCATTAAGAACTTCATTTATTTATTTATCAAATTAGATGAATCTTCTGAGTTTGTAGGCAACTATTAGCCCTGGCTGGGTTTATATAAAATGTATATTTTAACACAGTGGAAATGGTCTGGTTACTTTGTAATTCTGTAAATTACATGAATATAGAGTTCTCATATGCTGCTATGTCATAATTGATTTTTGGTTTAGTATCTTTTACAAATCTTGCTCAGAGTCAAGTAAACTTTAGTTATATCATATCTTAGTGGAATATCAGTGCAGTTGTGATCTCCAGTCCTTCCATTTATAGCATGGTTTTATGCAATATGCTAACTGTAACATGATTCACTTAGAATTTTGTGTGAATCCAGCAATTATGATGTAAACAAACAATTATGATTTTGTCAACAAGTTAAATCATGATTTAGTATTTAAGATTTACTTTCCCTTTTCCCCGTGTAATTGTGAGGAAGAATTCAGAGGCATTTGCTTCCATCTCAGTTAAATCATTTTTATCATGTTTAATTTGAAGAAATAATCTTCAAAAACCATATTTGCAGAAGCTCACCATATTTGGGCAACCCTTGAATTTATTATATCTCTCCCTGCTGTGCAGAGGGTCAAGATTCTGTGACTTTCTAGACTTTATTAGCATATGTGATGCTAAACAAGTAAAATATATTCTTGAAATCATAGACTCCAAGGGCTTCCCCAGGCCACAGATTTAGAATAAGATAATCATTTCTTTTCCAAGCTTTTAATTGTTAATTACTGATTTAACTTTTATTGTATTAATTGTATTATATTTTATACTTCACATTTTTATTTGTTAAAGTTACTTTGTATTGGAATAAACAGAAAATTGAGGTGTATATTCAATAATAACAGAATAAAATATTTTCATTGTATTTATTGCAAATGTTTTAATTTATTTAAAACTCACAGATAAAATAAAATATTGCACTTTCTTTTAATAATCTATTCTGTATCATACTCATTTTGAATACTTTTTCCTTAAAGATAAATTATACCTTTATTAATTATACCTTAGTAAGTTATTTTGAGATTGTACTACACAATTGCTTTAATTTTATATTATTTTCTATAAACTGTCCCAAAGAGGTTCTCTAGAAAGCATAAAAACATATTTAAATACATCAACTGTACATATTATCTATAGCATTTTGCTATAAAAGATAATATAATTTCATAATGGAAACTTTCTTTAAAAAATAGTTCAGTACACAAATATTTTAGAATGAATAGAAAGAGAGCAAAATAGAACAGCAGTAAAATAAATCATTTTAAGTGAGCCTCAAGGGATCAGTGGGTCCCAACCACTGCTCATATAGGATGAAAAATGCTTAGTTATCCTAAGCCAGGATTTTATTAAATCAGTAATAGTTTTTTGGTTCAGTTAATATTAAGCAAAATCAAAGAAGCATTGAAAGTTTCTTTATACCATGTTTCTCTTGGTTACAAAATCTACAGTAGAATGGCTGAAGTAGAAGAAATTTTGTATTTTGGAGCAGATACCAGTCCTTAATCCAATTAAGATATTTTGGCATGATTTGAAATATGCAGCTGTGGAATGCCTTCCCCAAATATTAATGAGTTTAAGCAGTTTCATGAATAGAAATGGGCTAAAGGAGAGGTCCCTAACCTTTTGGGCACCAGGGATCAGTTCTGTGGAGAGACGTTTTTCCATGGACAGAAGGGGCGTGGTTTTGTGTGCTGCCTGCATCCCACAAATGGGGCTTTGCTTCTTTGTGCGGACTGGTTTCTGGCATGCCGCGGACTGGTACTGGTCCACGGATTGGGGGTTGGGGACCTCTGGGCTAAAATAATGCTGGTCTAATGTGTACGAATAATGAACAGATGTAGAAAACATTTGGTTGAAGTCATTGCTACTGAAGGAGGTGCCACCAGTTTCAAAACCTAAAGTTTAAAAAAAGAATTTCCCAGCAAAAACATGATGGTGGTTCACTGTGGAGACATGATGATATACTACTTTGTATTTGTTTATCTATACTAGCATTTAGCTGAAGGTACCATTGAGCCTTCTCTGCCTCATTTGCTACTTCATCTTGCCCACTAGTAGGGCTGGTTTCAAATCTGCACTGAATCTTCACTAGGTAAAACTATATTCCTAATCTTCTTGTTAACTGTTGTTACACTAACCTCAAGTATGTTTAGCAATGTTTAACAATCTCTCTCTCACTTTAGAGTTAGGGAACAAGATTTGGCTCCTTTTCAAAATGGAATCTCTGAGGTGTTGCTGTCAGAAGCAATCAGTCGAAAGCTTGGGACGCACTACCAGATCATTGAGAAGAAGTTGTACCGGGAGCATGATTGCATGTTCCCTGCAAGGTGAGATATAAAATCTGTCAATCATGTACACAAAAAGAGAAAGAGAGATAAACAGAAAATCTGCCTGCCCCATTAATTTATGGGTCATTGAACAGAAAGTGTTCAAAAGGGCTGAACTCTAATGTAAGGGAACTAACCAATTTTGTATTGTCTTGCTTGAAATGTGGAAATTGGATTTGCTTTTGTGAGAATATTGACACTGCACTTTAGTTGTGCAGGGAGATGATATAGGTTAAAAACTAAAAAAAAATCAGGAATAAATACCTCTGAGGGAAAAGGATAATTGTAAAGTATGACTAGTTGTAGTTGTTTGATTGTCAGACAGGCCTGTGACTTTATTTTATGTGCTCTATGATGGAGTAAAAGAAAAAGCACTCTTTATACTATCAGTTAATAGTGTGCTGCTTCCCCGTTGTTTTTTCTGTTCAGGCCAGGTTCTGATCTCTTTGCAATGATTCCATCCTATTCCTATCACTGGAATAGTGTATTTTTTATCCTAATCTCAGTCTAGTTGTTCAGTCCATTTTAACATTTTCTTTTAATCACTTTGGCTTCATCCTACTTTTGATGAATCATTTTGCCTCTTATGGAACGTCCTACCATAGGATAGGAGGTCTGTACCTCTTCTGATATTTAACAACATGTGAAAATCTTGACTCTTTGAAAGATTATTTAGGACTGCAAATTGAGTGGGTTATGTTTTTTAGATCAGTGGCCACCAACCTTTCTGGTTCTGTGGATAGTAATGATAGTGAGGGGGGAGAGGGGATAGTTTTGCATGCACCCGCCACTTGTGTAAATGGAACTTCACATACCCACCTACTGCTTGCACGGCCCTGTTCCCAAGAAGCCTTAACCCCGGTATTGGGCTGTGGCCTGGGAGTTTGGGCCCCTGTGTTAGATGAATGATGGTACGTTTAATATGTTATGAAAAAAAAATGAGCAGTAATCTTTAAAGAATAAATATTTGTATAATAACATGGAACCTCTAAATAAAGAACAAATAGAGCAGCAATCAGCAATTTTTCTAATAACCGCTTTAACCATTATTTGCTAATAAGAAGATTAGAATTTTAGCAATTCACCCTTATAGCACTTTTGAAAATACAAGAGTTAACTGTTTAGAACAACCTAAGGGGGAAATAGAACAACCAAAGGTTGTTTAGAACCTATTTAGAACAACAAAAGGTCAAAAACTTATAACCTATTGCAATTAAGAAATACACACTTTGGCTGTAAAAGAAGCTTAAAATAGTGATTTTAGTAAAGCTGTAAAGGAAAAGAAAAGGGAGGCATGGAAATCAGATAGATTTACTTTAGTTTTTATACAAGAGCTTCAGTGGAAGAACTTAAATTAGTGATATTTGACACTGGTTAGATTAGTATGTGCACTATATACATGGGCACTGTTCCAAATTCTGAAGAGAATGTTCAAAAAGAAGGTATTTTTAAGTATACACATTTTAAATAAATGTGATAAATTTATCTCCTTTTGAAAAACATTTTTTCTTTTTTCCCAAGCATTATGGATGTTATTGAGTAAATGCTTGTTAACTACTATTCAACAAAAATAAAATAAAAACATAATCTAATGTGCTTAGATTCATGCTAATTGAAATGACATAAAAACAGCATGAATAAATTGGCCACCATTTGTTTACCTTTGTCAAGCCTTGGGGATAGATCAGATCAGGAGACAGCACCACCAGAAATACTGGAACTCTACTTTGTGACATTGTGTCAGCCCCTCATGGTAGATCAGACTAAGAAACCAATGCCTTATAGGTCAATACTACCGTATCTTTATTGTAAAGCTATAATAATAGACTGATGATTCCCCTCCCCTCTTCTTTATTCTTGTGTGAACAAGGGAGAGATTTGTCTGAGAAATTTAATCATGTTACTTTCTTGCTCTGGTCTAGGGGCTTCCTGGTTTATTCTGGGTTCTGTCCAAACCTCTTTCAGAAAGAACATTTTAAAAAAGGAAAGGAAAAAAAAACAATAGTTCAAGTGATCTCCTTTGCTTGCTTTGGTCATCTGTGATGCAGACTTTGTCTTTTTTAAAAAAATGTGGTTGAAATAATCCATGGCTCAATATAATGGGTAAACACAGCTAGTCTACTCTACTCATAGATACCTTTTTGATATTTGATTGCCTACAGATGTAGTGGAGTTGAGCACTTCATTTTAGAAATTATTCAGAACCTTCCTGATATGGAGATGGTCATCAATGTGAGGGATTACCCCCAGGTGCCCAAATTTATGAAACCAAGAGTGCCTGTTTTATCTTTTAGCAAGGTGAGTGAACAGAGAGCTATTATCCATCAGTCACGTTAGACAGGACAAATATCATGTTTTATTGAATCTCTTGTATGAATGAAACATTTTGCTAGAACTAACATGCTTTGCTCTCCTTTTTCTCTCAAAGACTTCAGAATACTATGATATTATGTACCCTGCCTGGACATTTTGGGAAGGGGGGCCAGCTGTTTGGCCAATATATCCTACAGGCCTTGGGCGTTGGGACCTAATGAGAGAAAGCCTCCAAAGGTAATCTGAGGAGAGAATAATTTTGTTGTATTCTTTTTTAAATAAAAGAGAATCCAAATTTGCATTTAATAGGGCCATGTGCACCAGTTCCTCATTCTGAAGAGATTTCATTGAGCAATAATTTATACTTTGTTAAATGAAAGCTGCAGGCATTTAGTTATAGACTGTATAATTCAGAAGAAATGCATGTTGTTCAAGTTCATCTAAGGGGATATAATTGTGCTTCAGATTGAGAGAAATCCATGCAGAGGTTAGCACATGGGGAGTGGAAAGAAAACTTTAGAAAGTCAGTAGGAAATTCAGATGCAGAGATTTTAAGATGAAGATCTGTTTTTCTTTGGTGGATGCATTTCCTTGGTAGATGATGCTGGAAATTTGATTCTAGGACCGAATGCAGCAACCTACGCTTTCTTTCTCTTTTTGCCATTCTATTTAATCTCCACCCAATGAGCTATAAGTAAACAGAAAAGCAATATCAAGAGTTACAACGGTGCTTAAAAGTTTGCGATCCCTTTTTATTTTTCAATATTTCTGCATAAATATAACCTAAAGTATGATTTGTTCACCACTTTTGTTCACCACAGAAGTCCTGCAACTAGATCAAGAGAATCAAGTAAATGAATAAAAAACAGTATGTTTTTTAATTTTAATTCTGTGTACTTATCAAAATATTCTTAGCTCAGCAGAAAAATGGCCCTGGAAGAAAAAAAAATCCAAAGCCTATTTTCGAGGATCCCGGTGAGCATTTTTTTTCTCTTTCAAGTGCTTTGATACTTTGATAGTCCTAATCTTGTAAATAATTATTCTACTATATGCTTTGCTCAGGGAAATTCAATTGGTCTAATTGAAATATATGCATTTAAAGGTAATGTTTTCCTTGAGTTGATATCAGCTCCTGGGGAGTACCTGGACTTACCTCTGTTATTTTTTTGGCATCAGTGCTTTGCTACTGCTATATTCAGGAATGCTTTTACTACATAATACTATGATGCCTAGTTTAATAACTCTGGGAATTATTAGTGTTTCTAATCCAAATAGTAACCAAATCTACTTAATTTTTTCTAAAAGCAGCCAAGGCCTGCTATGTATTATTAACTCAGTATTTAGGTTACTATGTTGAATGTTATGTGTGGGTGATATCATTTTGTTTTAGAAGTAGTGGGTGATATTTTGTTTTAGAAGCCATTGAAATGCACTAGAATTTTCTCCAGATTCCAGAGAACTGTAAAATGTTTTCATGTCGCTTTATACATTTTGTTACTTAGCAAATGCTACTTAAAAAAGGGGGGAGAGCAGTAGAAATAGTAGTAGAATCAATCATATTTATTTATTTGTATTATTAGATCATGAGAGAAAAATACAATATAACAAAATTCCATCCAATAGAATTGACTTACAATTTAGAAGTCAAGCCAGTAAACAGATATTAAAAGAGCAAACCAAACACTGCAACCATACATATTTTTGTAATATGCCCTGTGATGCCATTGAGCAACCCATCTGTAATTAAAATAAAACAGGTGTGATGACTTCCAGTTTGCGTCCTGGTGAGACGGGATGCAGGAAGGCAAGGCTCTGCCTTCCACACCCGATTTTGCCCTACTGGGGGCCCTAAAAAGGGCCTAAAATCTCCACAAAGAAGCGATGAAGAGGAGGGGTGGCTTGTTGATCACGGAGAGATGGATGTTTTTCTATTCCATCCAAGGAAAGCCCTCCAAACTGGCAGGGAAAAGACTGGCTACTTTCCTGTGGCCGGACATTAGCTGCTGACAACCGAAGAAGAAAAAAGCACTAATTAATACATCGTACCAGCATGTTTGGAATTGGGTGAGAATATTGATCCTTTCTTTACTATTTTACAACTGAATTTCCTGGGAAAGGGTCTCAAGAAGCTAAAAAACTCCGAATATAAATTGAAGCAGTGTTTTAATTTTATGGGGGACAGAAACATAGAATACTGAAGTGGAAGTAATATAAAGCTACAGTTTTGATAAATTTGAGAACTGAAATAACTGTTAAGATTTTCTCTTTAAAAAAAACATTGAGGCGAAATATAAGAAATCAATCCTTTGTTTTAAGAGTGGAAAATGGACTTTGAATGACATCTAGTGGTGGATTATCACTATAATTTGCTTCCTGGCTGCTTGGTGATTCTTAGCTCGGGAGAACAGTTGGCAATAAAGTAAAATATTTTGGCATATTTATCACCCTGACCTTCTTGGATTATAAATATCTACTGAGCTTGGACTTTTAACTTTAAGAGCTAGTGGGAGACAAAGAAAAATTTGACCTTGGACTAAACCTGGCTGGGAGAGACTTTTGAGCTGCTTTCAGAGAGGTTGAACATTTTGAACACTTCGAGCATTGTGGATTACAACCTTGCCTGACTGACAGTTTTTGGATACTTGAGACAAGGATTACTATAAAATATTGCTTTCAGGACTGAACCTATACTTTGGAATCTATTGGATTATAAAGGATACATATAAAGACCAGAAAACTAGAAGAAACTTTGATCTACTCTTACTGAGACTGGTGATACTAGAGGATCTCCAGGAATGATGCCTCAAGAAAAAACAACATCTTTCAGAAAGAAATATATTATATGCTACAACTAATTCACCAAACAATTGTTGAATGCAAAGAGGACATAAAAGAAATCATAATTAGACTAAAAACAATATAGACAATATAAACGAGCAAATCTCCAAATTAAATCTACAGCTAGAAAGTTCCCAGATAATGACTACAAAGTATCAACAAATAATCCAGAAATCAGAAGACGAAACAGAGGAAATGGATTTAGAGATGGAAGAGATAAAAGAAGGGAAATATAAACAACTATATATAAACAAAATACTGCAAGACTTAGCTATAACAATGAAAATGCAAAAGACCTTTTACCCCTTAGGTCTGCAATATATATCTGATGGCAAGGGAGAAGATTTTAAAAAATGGAATATAGAGTTGTTAGGGGAAATCTCACAATTTTGGATACAGGGAATGAAAAGAGAAATGGAGAGAGAAAGTAACTGGGAGTAGTTAGGAATATAAATGGCCGGAATTACCCCCCCCCCCAAAAAAATACCGTACCTAAATTTAAATTGTCTTCCTCATGCTAAGCAATTTTTACAAAAATAGAAAAATCCTGGGCGATGTAATTGCATGGCTTGGAAAGCTACTTGGCAAAGAAAGAAAGCGAGAGTCAGATTTAAAAAACAGAAGATTTGACCTTTTAGAGGGAGCATTAACATATTTAAATATTTGTTTGAATAAGATTAAAAGAACGGATGACCCTTAGATATAATTAGACTTTTATAATGAAAGATATGATTTAGAACTAAGATAGCATTTTTTTCTTTTTTTTTGATATGGGAAATATGAAGATAGGAGGAGGATTGATTTGAATAAACCTTTAGCTATATAAATGTAATTAATATTGAGAAAGTCATAACTGATAAAGATATTTTAAATACTGATGGGAAATCAAACCTTAACAAGAGCACAAAAACAGGATATTGATTAATGAATTGACATTATTTTTTAATTGATAGTATTGTTATTTGTATGATATTAGTAAACTATGATGAAGATGCTTATATTTAACTCTGTATACATTAACAGTAGCAAAAATTGTAATGGTGTCATGAGGGGAAAATGGAAAAAATATGGAGAAGAAAGGAGGATCAGGAAAAAAATACTGGATTGTGTACTATTGAACAGATTTATATTGAAGAAGTTAATGTTAAATATTTGAACCCAGACAATATGTTGCTTACTAAGCACTAAAAACTGTAATGTTTTAAAAATTAATAAAACTTTTATAAAAAAATAAAATGGGTGTTAGCGTAGGACCTGCCAAGATTTGGGAGCCAATTAATAGTGCGAGACACTAATACTAGTCAAATAAAGAGATTTTGACATTCTGATCTCTCCAAGCAGAGTCCCAGAAAACCAGTGGATGGTGGTTATAATTTTCACTTGCTCACTTTAGAATTATATGATTTATTGACCAATGTATTTGAAAAGTGCCAGGTTGGAGAAAGCCAATCTAACAGAGTTCTGTGTAATTTCTTGGTAGGACAAGTGCAGAGCGGGATCCTCTCATTCTTCTTTCTCGGGAGAATCCAGATCTTGTTGATGCAGAGTACACTAAGAACCAAGCTTGGAAATCTGAAAAAGTAAATACTATTGAATACTATTAAAATACTATTATTACTGTTAGTATTAATACTATTATTTTTTCCTTTCTCTTAATAATTAGACAGTGAAACAGCTTGCCTTCAGATGTTATGGGTGCTTCATCACTCAAGTTTTTTTTTTTTTACTTAAAAAGTTTTATAAAAATTATAATATTAACCCACCCAAACCCCCCCCTCTCCCTCCCCCACTTCCCAGAGCTGAATACAGGGTTACAAATATGATAATCATATTTTTTAAGGTTTTTAAGAAGAGACTGGACAGCCACTTGTCTGAAATGATATAGGGACTCTTGCTTGAGCAGGGGGCTGGACTAGAAGACCTCCAAGGTCCCTTCCAGCTCTATTCTATTCTGATTATTCTGATAAAATAATCCCATTATGAAATGAGATAAAGTTTCTAATATTGATAATTGTTAGTACATTTCAAGATTTTCTATTTAAAAGGAAAGAAAATGTATATTTTAGCTATATTTTACTCTACTCCCACTGGACTTGTAAGACTTTAATATGTGGTATACAACTGATTTTATATTTAAATGTGAAAGCTTCTTTAAATACAGCATTATGCTCTTGATACATGTATAGCAGGGTACATGTTTTTAATGATTTTTTTCTGCTGTTAGTTGTTTCTTTGTTGTATTATACTTTTTTCCCAAACGAAGAGAAAATGTAAGCTATTCAGAGTCCTTTTTGATTAGGGTAGTATATAAGCTTCAGTAAATAAATAAGTAAATCAATAAATTGTATCACTCTCTTCCAATTTGATTATTCCAGCAGCCACTGTATAGTTGATTAAGCTGAGCAATTATTGTGATTATAAGAGCCGTGATGGCGCAGTGTTTAGAATGCAGTACTGCAGGCTAATTCACTACTCACTCCAGGAGTTAGATTCTGAGCAGCTCAAGGTTGACTCAGTCATCCATCCTACCGAGGTGGGTAAAATGAGGAACCAGATTGTTGGGGGCAATATGCTGACTCTATAAACTGCTTAGAGAGGGCTATAAAGCACTGTGAAGCAGTATATAAGTCTAAGTGCTAATGCAGTTATGGAACAGGGGGCTTGATATGATGGAATGTGGGAAAGACCCTGGAAATCTCTGAAACCTTAATGTTAGCCAATACTTCTACATCATGCTAGCCCACATACCAACCTGGATTTCATTAGTCCAGCATAGACCTGTCCAGTGTGTTTGAATTGCTTGTGGACTGGTTTCAAATCATACTTTCAAGAAATAAGCCTCAAAGGAAGTTTTTTAAAGATGTTTTATATGACAAGGGGTAAACATTGTTGTAAGAGATTGCTATGAGCATAGTATATTCAAACAGTTTATGCATACAGTATATTGGTGCTAATGGCATCATATCAAAGCCAGCATGGACAAATTTGCAGCCGCTTGTAACAACTTTGGCCTCTTCTGAAGTGATGTACCAGCCAGTTCCAAAAGCCCAATATCAAGAGCCTACCATCACAGTAAAGGGACAAAAACTGCAAGCAGTGAACCAATTTACATATCTTGGTAGTACCCTCTCCCGTGCAGTGACAATTGACATCGAGGTCAACTGTAGAATTGCCAAGGCTAGTTCTGCATTTGGCAGATTGCGGACTAACGTGTGGGACCGCCGTGGAATAAGTCTTGCTACCAAGCTTAATGTTTACCAGGCAGCAATGCTAACTACCCTGTTGTATGCTAGTGAGACCTGGACAGTGTACAGGAGGCACGTTAGGCAACTGAACTACTTCCACATGACTTGCCTTCATAGAATTCTGAGGATCCGGTGTCAGGATAAGATACCAGACACAGATGTCCTCTCCAGAGCAGGCCTATCATCAGTTTACACTCTGTTGATGAAAGCCCAGATGCGCTGGGCAGGCCATGTTGTAAGGATGCCAGATCATCGCATCCCTAAACAGCTCTTCTATGGTGAGCTGTCTCAAGGAAAGCGATCACACGGGGGACAAAAGAAGCGATACAAAGACATGTTGAAAGCCTCTCTTAAGTCCCTGAATATTAACACCATCTCTTGGGAACTTCTGGTGCATGATCGACCGACATGGTGCACCTTGGTGTACCAGGGTTGCCAGACATATGAACACAGTTGGCACAAGAGAAGTGAGCACTCCGCAAAGCCAGAGCTGTAAATGCTGAAGTAACATTGTCTACATTTCTTTGTTCAGTATATGGCAGAACATTCCGTGCTAACATCGGTCTTATTAGCCATCTACGGACACATCGTTGATGGCCCATAACCCACAAGATGTCAAGGTCTTTATCGAAATCGATGGACGAACAACTCATCACATCAAATAGATTATTCCACTTCTCTTTTTTATCTCTTGCTGATTGAATTTTAGTCTATTTTCCCCCCAAATCAGCATGCCTGATTTGGCACAATGGGGGGTAAATTAAATAACAATAATAATCCCTCTGATTTGTAAAAACAGAAGTTGTTTTCCTAGTGTGTTTTACTGAGCATGCTTACTCCATAGTCATGGAGTTTTATCTCTATAGTAGTGCCTATTATGTAGACAAAATGATGTAGCATGGGGCAGAAGTCTTTTCAGGTTCCAGTACTGCCACGTGATCTCATTCAGTGATGTGTTTCCATCTCCTAGATCACAAAATTACTTTAAATCTAGTAAGGTTTTGGTGGTCCTGCCTCACAATTTCAAGTCTATGAAATGTATTTTTAGAGACACACATAGTGAAAGCTTACAGTATTCATTTTTTCCTCACCAGCCCCAAGCTTCCGCTATGTATGTCTCTAAAAATACATTTCATGGACTAAATATATTGGCATCTGCTATTTTTGTCTACTAATCCATGAAGCTGATTGGAACTATTGTATATGTTCACCTGTAAGCCCATGTACGTATAAGCTGACCCTCCATTTTTAACTAAAATACCATGAAAAATGTGTTGCCCATCAATATATCAACCACATATTTATGGTATTTTTAATCAAAAGTTTTAATCAAAATTCTTTGATCCACTGATTCATGGATGGGCTTATGCATGAATATATATATAGCAAATATGGGTACTTTAAAAAGTTATTGCTATTTATATTTGTGAATAAGCCCATCTGCAAATAAGCCAAAGCTATTTTTGGAGATGCATTTTGGCATCTATAGTAAAATTCTCAGTTTATTTGCAAATTTGTACTGTACTCTACTAAAGTGTTAGTACTGGAGCTCATCATATAAAAGAAAGACGACCAGTATCAGAACTAACATTTAGGTCAAGAGGAATTCTGCATAGTTTAAGAACCTAAGGGTTTATAATTATTTCTGTATTCTGAAATATTCTATATTGAAAATAACAGTTCACAGCTGCAGTTATTTATATGGAAAATGATGAAAAGATTTGGGGCATGTAGACTCAGAGTCTACAAAAATGGATTAGCATATAAATTGAATAAATAAGCAACCTATATTAAATATGGCAGTTCTAATCAGTGCAAGACAGGAAAATGGATTAAAGAAAACCACAGCTTGTTGCATATGTGAAATAAAAATACTACACAGCATTTGTGTGTGTGAACAAATGTTTATTTGAAAGGAAAAAAAATCAATGAACATTCTAAGAAAACTTGTATATGACTGCAGTCTAAGAAAATTAATGAGCTGAATATTTAGCTAGTTAGTCTTTAGATTCTCTGGCTTATAGTAAGAGAACTTTAACTTTAATTATATATTCTATTGAAAAAAATTAGGAATAATGTGTATTACTGCATCTTTTTGTATAGCATTTCTGTTATAGTTATTAGGAAGGTGATTAGAAACAGTTCTTTAAGAAATCTTTTTTTAAAGGATACTCTTGGGAGACCACCTGCAACAGAAGTTCCACTAGCAGACCATTGTAAATTCAAGTAAGTAGTTGATTCAATCTCAATAAATATCTAATGCATGTCAGTTCAGTGTAAATATGTGAAAGCAAGTGTCATGGAATTCATGGGGCACATGTCAGTATAGCCTTGAATTCAGAAGATCTAGTGTTTACATTGGCATTGAGGGCCAGGATTCCCATCCATTAACCCTTAGCTGCTAGTGCTATTTTAATTGTTTGCCTTAACTTGAGCTTCATAGTGAAAGCTGGACAATTAGTTGTGTCCTGATTCTTTTTATAAGTAGGAACATATAAATGCTATTGGTATTAGGCAAACTTAACTTTTTCTAAATATTCTACTTCTGTATTTGGATTTTGTGCTATGAATTTCCACCATCCCCAGTTTACCGCTGTGTTACTGTATTTCAAGGAGTGCATTCCAGGAGTCTCTAAAACTCTGTATCTCCTGTGTGCCATTTGGCATTAATAAGTAATTGATATGATTAAACTCCTTAGATTGCCTGTAGTTGCTGTGATATTCAGAACCAAAGGATTTTGTCATCTCAGGCCCCTGGAGTTTTGCACCAAGAATTTTCACTTATCATGTTTACATGATAAAAGGATGCTATTGAGAGGCTGGTATTTTAAATGACTTGACATCTCTTGAAAGGAGGAAAACATTGCTAAGAATAGAAATTGGGAATTCTTTCATTTGGAGATTGTTTCCTTTCCTCGTGCTGACAGAATGTAGCCTCCATTTCTTATGGCTCCACTGTGGTTATTAAGATGTTAGTGAATATTTAGCTGAAATATACATGTTTTATGGTGTGTTCATTTATATGAACTCAGTAGGAGCAAAGATTAGACCAGATAGAAGAGTGCAGAAGATGCAACAATTTAGATTCCTGAACTTTGGATTTACTGCTTCTAATTTTGGCCTCTGTGTGGCAATATTTGAATGGAATATCTTTATCATATAGCATTAAGATTATACTCCAAACTTTCACTTTGTAGAAGAGTAAAATAAATTTACCTTTCTATAATGTAAATATAAATATGCTCATTATTGGAGAGGAGTCGTATTTTAAGGCAGGTGTTTGTGTTTTTTTTTCCCCTTTCCTTTTCTTTAAATACAAGATACCTCTTCAATTTTCGAGGAGTAGCAGCCAGTTTTCGCTTCAAACACCTTTTCCTGTGTGGCTCTTTGATTTTTCATGTTGGAGAAGACTGGCAAGAATTCTTCTATCCACAACTGAAACCTTGGGTTCACTATATCCCAGTTCAGTCTGATCTTTCTAATGTGAGGTGAGATGTTAAAACTGCTGTGGCTTAATTATTTGTGTGTATTAGTAACTTTTATGTAAAATATTAATATTACAAAACTATTTAGGATTGTGCATCATATCTGACAAAGTCATCCATAATGAGGCAGAGATAGCTGAATTAAAATACATGGGTTGCCTTCAAAGGTAGAATCATACAGAATGCATTGCATGGTTTAGTCTGGATTAAATTGTTTTTTATATGATTGAGTCTAGGTCAGGGGTAGGCAACCTTGGCTCTTTTATGACTCGTGGACTTCAACTCCCAGAATTCCTGAGTCCACAAGTCATAAATGAGCCAAGGTTGCGTACACCTGGTCTAGGTGAAATCTATTTTTATAGATGGATGTTTAATTTCTATAAAAGGGATTTCCAGTTAAAGGTGGTCCTCATTTAACCAGCGTTTGTTCAGCAACCGTTCAAACTTAAATTGCATTGAATAAGTGGTAATTTCAACTGGTCCTTGGAATTCTAGACATTGCGACATCTCCATAATTACGTGATTGTGATCTGGGCACTCAGCACCCAGCTCACAATAACAACATTTCAGCAAGCCACAGTCACAACTTCCAGTGTTCCCTTCCCACAGGCAAAGTCAATGGGGTAGCTGGCAGGGAGTCAGAAGTTGCAGTCATGTGAGGTCCTTGCTTAATGATCTCATCTTTACAGTTCTTGCTTAACAATGGCACCCAGGATGGCCAGAACCAGTCACTAAGCTGCAGTCACATGACATTGCACTTTATGACGTTGTATGGTGATGCCAATTCCTATTATTGGCCTAACTATTTTATTCCTGTTTTTAACTTAATTTATTATAATATTTATATATTGTTTTTATTTATTTGTATATATGTTTATATATAAAATATATACATAAATCCCGATTAATTGCCATCATGAACAATATATTGTACATCTCCCCCAAAAATGACCTATATTGGCAGATGTTTTGATACCTTGATTTGGACCATCAGCATTTTCAGCTTCAAACACACCTAAATTATTAGAAGTAATCAAAAAATATAATGAGACAGAAAATCCATAGTTATTTTTTATAAACCTTCTTACTGATCAATCATTTTGTCTGGCATATTTTAAAAACTGATTGGAATAAGGAATTGGCAATTTCCATGTTTAAATAATGTAAAAATGTCTTAATGTCCATATGAAATTTAGATATTTAGGTTAATTTAATTTTTAAAAATAAAACTAAAGCTTAATTGTTATTAAAAATCAATATTTCAGACAGAAAAGAAATTAGTAAATCATATTTTTGTTGGAGATCAGTTGGGAATAAACATGCCGTTAAATCGTTGTACTCTGGAAAAATTCTACAATACAATAATAAAATATTAAGAAGGTTTAATATTTTTATGCATGCATATTTTTTAAATTAAATACCTACTGCTGGAAAATGATGGCTAGATAACAAAATGAATTCTCCGCTGCCTTATTACTGCTAAGACATTTATTTGATTGGTTGTTGGTTTTCATAGCTGCCCAATTCTACTTGACTGACCTTCATATTGGAATGATAAATTTATGGTTCCAATTGCTCAGTGGATTGAAGAGCTGATATTACTTGTGACTTATGAATGAGTTGTTTATAGACACAGATTATGTAGGGATGATCATAATGGAATATCTTTCACTGAAACTGTTGTATGAGATTTTGTATGTTTACTCATAAACATGAGTATACATATACATATATAGTTGTTTTGCTTCCTTTTCCCCTTTATTTTTGTACTCTACAAATTATATTTATTTTTTTTAATTAAAGACAAATTAAAAAAAAAACATATATATGCAGGAGGCCAAATGTCTGTATGGATTGTGATTGATATTTTATTCTTGATGCCCTTCTTTTTTTTTTTAGTAACACAATTATTTGTTTATTTAACTTCATTATTTAATTATTTATTGCATTATTCTTATTTTATGTTGTATTTTATTGTACTGTTGTTGTATTGTAATGCTTTTGCTGAAGGAAGGTTTAGAGTTCTGTTGAATTAAAGCTCCAACAAATGAACAAGCACATAAATAGCAAGTTAAAAAAAAAAACACCAAAGCCAACCAATTAAACATAACAGATTTCCCCTGCTGAGATTGGTCGTATTTATTCTGCCTAAAATTAGTCTTAAGAAACTAACATTTTCTGATTTGTATCCAAAAAATAATAAAATACCAAATATATGTTTCAGAGAGCTATTGGAATTTGTAAGAGAAAATGATGATGTTGCTCAAAGTATTTCCGAGAGGTAAGCTCTTACTACTGCTATGCTTTGTCTTAATTATAGGAATTCCTTGGTATAAAATCGATTTGATCATGAAGTCCATAAGACTTTCCCAAGATTATATTTAGTAATTTGTTTAAACATTGAAAAATGTCTACAGATAGTCCTTCCTTAATATCTATTTGTTCGGTAACAGCTCAAAGTTATAGGAGAAAGAAAGGAACTTATGACCAGTCCCCAAAGTTATGGCCTTTGAAGCGCCCCTATGATCACATGATCAAAACTCAGGTACTCTGCAGTCTGCTTGCACTTACATGTGCAGGGGACCAGCCTATCTCCCCCATCTACCCTTTTGGGCCCCTGCGTTCCACAGTCGTTGCCACCCTAGCTGACATCCACTGTCTTCTTGCTCCTGCTACTGATGAAGCATGCTCCTTCACAAGACAATTGCTGGCTACACAAGGCTTTCTTTCCTAGATCATGCATCATGCACTTCCTCCAGAGACCAGGGGAAATTGGCCTTCTATAGCCAGCAGCTGCCCCACAAAGATATAGGGCAGGAACCCTTCAGCAGCAGCAGGAGCAAGAAGATTGTGAAGGTCATCTATGGCAGCAGAGCGCAAGACAGTAGAGTACCTCAGAGCACATGTTGGCAAGGGCTGGGCTGACAAGAGGCTTCATGGGTGGTTTTAGCTTTGTGCTGCTGGGCCAAGCTGGGGATGATTGCCACCTTGTAAAGCAAAGTGTAGAGTGACAAAAAGGGCAGAGGTGGTAGGGAATAGTAGTTAGGGGAAGTTGAAGAAGAGGCAGTCTCTTACTTTGGAAGAACTGAGGCTCAGGGCTAAGAGAATCAGAATGACTTGGATTTGAGAGTGCCCTTGCCTAACAACCTGAGGAATTCTGTTGACAATGGCAGTGGAGAGCTAAGTAATGTGTACATGTTGCTCAAGTACTACCTGCATTTGTATGGCATATAAATTTAGAAATAATTGCTAGGATGTGTTTATGTCTTGCAGGAGGAAGACCTTTAAATGATATTTAGTTCTAATACTGATAATTATACATCATTTAATGTTTACTTCCACAATTGGAAAAGGTTTGTTCTGTTTTCTTTACAGCAGCTGGCACTTCCAAGACTACATCAATTCAAGTTATATGTATAAGTCTGGCTTTGATTTTTAAATAAGCACTCAAATTTTAGGAATAAGTCATTAAATTATAGTTTAAGGACTTATTACTACTATTATTACTACTATGCCCCAGGGCTGTGTTCTGGGCCCAGTGCTCTTCAAAATCTTCATCAGTGATTTGGATGAGGGGATAAATGGGGAACTCATCAAATTTGCAGGCGACACCAAGCTGGCAGGAATAGCCAATATTCCAGAAGATAGGCTTAAGATACAGAAGGATCTTGACACACTTGAACGTTGAATGCTATCTTAAAAAATGAAATTCAATAGTGAAAAAGTAAGGTTATATATTTAGGCAAGAAAAGCCAAATGCACAGGTATAGTATAAGTGGTACCTTGCTCAATAGTAATAATGTGAGAGAGATCTCGGAGTCCTAGTGGACAATCGATAAATATGAGCGAGCAGTGTGCTGCAGCTGCCAAAAAAAAAAAACACAGTGCTAGGCTGCATTAACAGAAGGATAGAATCAAAATCACGTGAAGTGTTAATACCACTTTACAATGCCTTAGTAAGGCCACACTTGGAATACTACATCCAGTTTTGGTCATTACGATGTAAAAAAGATGTTGAGACTCTAGAAAGAATACAGAGAAGAGCAACAAAGATGATCAGGGGACTAGAAGCTAAAACATAAGGAATGGTTGCTGGGATTGGGTATGTCTAGTTTAATGAAGAGAAGGGCAAGGGGTGACATGCTAGCAATGTTTCAATATCTCAGGGGCTTGCCACAAAGAAGAGGGAGTCAAGCTATTCTCCAAAGCACCTGAAGGCAAGACAAGAAGTAACAGATGGAAATTAACCAGAGAGAAGCAACCTAGAACTAAGGAGAAATTTCCTGACAATTAGAACAATTAATCAGTGGAATAACCTGCTTCCAGAAGCTGTGAATGCTCCAACAGTGGAATTTTTAAGAGACTGGACAGCCATTTGTCTGAAATGATATAGGGTTTTCTGCCTAAGCAGAGAGTTGGACTAGATGACCTGCAAGGTCCCTTCCAACTTTATTTTTTTTTTTTTATTATTAAATTTTTTCAGAAATTTTACAAATAAACATCCACCCCCCCCTCCCAAACCACCCCGCCCTCCCCCCCCCGACTTCCCAGAACTGAATATAGGATTATTTAACAAATTTTAAAAATAACGTTTACAATTTATAAGATAATTAATAATAATAATAAAAATCGTAATCATAATATATATAATAATAGTATACATAACATAAGCTTTAAAGTGAATAATATATACTAAAAAAAAAAAAGAGGAAAAAAGGAAAAAGAAAAGAGAGAGAGAAAGAAAAAAAGAAAAAGGTAGACGAAAAATAAAACATATATAAAAAAGTATATGAATAATAATACATAAAGCGTAAAAAAAAAAGAAGAAAGAAAGAAAAAAAAAACAATCATTACAAGTTATAGAAAAGCTAAATAATATTTTTCCATATCCAAATTATGTTGTATAAAATTTATCCATTTTTCCCATACCGCAAAAAATTTCTCTTGAGATTGCTCCTTTAAAAAAGCCGAAATCTTTGCCATTTCTGCCAAATACGAAACTTTATAAAACCACTCTTGTAAAGTAGGCAAGGATTCCTTCTTCCAATATTGTCCTATTAACAGCCTAGCGGCTGTAATCAAATTTAACATCAATATAACCTCCTTAGCATCACAATCAATAACAATACCTAATAAAAATAATTGCGGAGTAAATTTTACCCTCTTTCTAAAAATTCTTTGAATATTCCACCATATCTTAATCCAAAAAGCTTTTATATGCTTACACGTCCACCAGATATGATAATAAGTAGCATCCAAGTGTCCACATCTCCAGCATTTCGGCTGTAAATTAGGGTACATAATGGACATTTTCTTTGGATCAAGGTGCCATCTATAAAACATCTTATAAAAATTCTCTCTTAAATTTTGCGCTTGTGTGAATTTAACATTTCTTATCCAAATAAGTTCCCAAGTATCCATTGAAATCGATTCACCAATATTCTGTGCCCATTTAATCATACAATCTTTAACTAATTCAGATTCTGAATCCAATTCCACTAAAACCCCGTAAACTCTCTTTATATGGGTTGGCCTTTGATCTCTTACTTGTTTTAGAAGAATTTCATCTTCTCTGAGCCAGCCCATTTTACAATCCATCTTCCATCTATCCACTATTTGTCTATATTGGAACCATGAATAAATTAGATTTTCATGTGTTAATTCTTCCAAAGATTTTAACTGCCAGTCTTGGCCATCCCATCTAAGTAACTGTGCATAAGAGACCATATCCATATTAACCCCTTTCCTTATGCCTTCTATGGCATGCCGAGGTATAGCCCATAATGGTATTTTAAAATCACATTTATAATACTTCCTCCACACTCTAAGCAAAGAGATTCTTATAATATGAGACTTAAAAACCCAATCCACTTTTTTATTAAATATTAAATAGGCATGCCATCCAAAAAGTAAGTCCCAACCTTCCAAATGAAGTATTTCTATATTTGTTAAATTCACCCAATCGCTGATCAATGTTAATACTACAGCATCATAATACAATTTCATATTTGGTACCTTGAGTCCACCTCTCTCACGAAAATCTTGCATTATTTTAAGTTTCACCCTTGGTTTTTTCCCTGCCCAAACAAATTTATTAATACCTTTTTGCCATTCATCTAAATTACGTTCACTCTTTAAAATAGGTAACATTTGAAACAGAAAAATAAACTTTGGCAGGACATTCATTTTAATAACTGCAATTCTACCCATAAGGGATAACTGTAAATTGTTCCAATTTTTTAAATCCTTCTGTACCTCCGTCCACAGCTTTTCATAATTATTTTTATACAATTTTACATTGGAAGCAGATAATATAACCCCCAAATATTTTACCTTATCAACAATTTCAAAGTCTGTTAACTTAACTAGAACCTGTTTATCACCATTAGTCATATTTTTAGCTAATATTTTAGTCTTATTATTATTAATTTTAAAACCAGAAACACGTCCATATTGTTGGATCAATTGTAATAATTTTACCACCGAACAAGTAGGTTGAGACAAAGTAACAACCAAGTCATCTGCAAAGGCTCTTAATTTATATTCTTTTTTATTAATTTCTATTCCTTTTATTTCTTGAGACTCCCGAATTTTAATCAACAAAATTTCCAATGTTAAAACAAACAATAACGGAGATAACGGGCATCCCTGTCTTGTACCTTTTTCTATTACAAAAGCCTCTGACAAACCCCCATTTACAATAAGTTGAGCAGTCTGTTTTTGATATATATTAGATAATACTTGTAATATATTTTGTCCAAAATTCATCTCCTTAATTAAACATAACATAAACTGCCAATTCACTTGGTCAAAGGCTTTTTCAGCATCCAAAAATATCAGGCCTGCAGAGACTTGGTTATTCTTTTCTAAATACTCTAATAAGTTAATGATTTGTCTGACATTATTTTTCATATACCTTCCAGTTATAAAACCCGATTGATCCTTATGTATAAGCTGCTGCAAGATCCCCATAAGCCTGTTGGCTAAAATTTTTGCAAAAATTTTATAATCCACATTTAAAAGAGATATAGGCCTATAATTTTTAGGCAATGTAAGATCTTGATTGTCTTTTGGAATCAGTGATATAAATGCATTACGCCAAGATGGAGGGATCTCTAACCCCTGTAATAAGTTATTAAACAATTCACACAACGGTTGAGTCATCTCTTCTACTAGAGTTTTATAATAAATAGATGTCAACCCATCCGTACCCGGCGCTTTGCCCAATTTCAATTGTTTAATAGCTGTAACAATTTCTTCCTTAGTAATTAAACCATTAATCTCTTTTTCCTGATCTTCTGTTAATTTAGAAAAATTAACTTTACCTAAATAATTGTTTATATCTGTAGTTTGAATATTAGTACTCTTGTATAATTTTTGGTAGTATTCTAAAAAAGATTTCTTAATCAATTCTTTCTGATAAACCAATTTACCATTATAATTTATTTTATCTATATTCCTCTGTTTCTGTTTCTTTCTTAACTGATAAGCCAACCATCTCCCTGGTTTATTAGCATTACAAAATGTATTTTGTTTCATAAATAGTAAATTGGTTGCAGCTTGATCAGCCATCAACATGTTAAATTGTGTTTTTAACAGTTTTATAGCTCCTTTCACCTTTTCATCTAAAGGATTTGAAATTAGGAGTTTCTCTTTTAATTTAATCTCCTCTTCTAAATCTTTACGTTTCTGAATCTGTTTCTGTCTATGCAAGTTATTCATTTTTATCAAAATACCACGCATAAAAGCTTTACTTGCATCCCACACCATTGACATTGATGTTCCCTTATTCATATTTAAAGCAAAATATTCCTTTAAACATTCCTTTAGTTTGTGAACATTTTTTTCTTGTTTAAATAAATTCTCATTCACCCTCCAGGATCTCCTGTCTTCTTTCTCAGCAAACAGTTCCATCCAAACTGGACTATGATCAGACAATGTCCTAGGAAAAATTTTTACATTCTTCACCCTGTTGTATAAATCTGTTGTGATCAAAAAAAAAATCAATTCTTGAGAAAGATTGGTGTCTATCTGAGAAGAAGGTAAAGTCCCTTTCTTCTTGGTTACGTTCACGCCAATAGTCTCTCAATTCCCAATCTTCTTTCATGTCAAAGAAGGCTTTAGGTAGTTTAGCCTGTTTAAAAAAAGTAGAAGAGCCTTTTTTGTCCTTTTGTATATCTAAGACACCATTCCAGTCTCCCATTAAAATCACAGATCTATAGTCCAACAAGGTTATTTTCTGATGTAGCAACCTGTAGAATTGCTCCTGTTGCTGGTTTGGTGCATACAGCCCCACAATAAGAATTTTCTTGCCATATAAACCAAGTTCAAGCATAACATATCTTCCATGAGGATCTGATTCTAACAGGATAGCAGATAAATTCTGCTTAACATAAATTACCACACCCCCTTTTTTCCCAGGGGCGGGAGATACAAAATGAGATCCCAAACGAGGATTGTTTAAGTATTTTTGGTCTTTAGATGTAATATGAGTTTCTTGCAAGCAGATAATATCATTGTTGTGTTGCTTTAAATAATGGTAGATTTTTTTTCTCTTTTGAGGAATATTTAATCCATTAACATTCCAGGTCAGGAGCTTTGCCATCTCCCTTGGCTTTGAGCCTGGAGAAGATCCCCTCAAATTCTGCTACTGAAGAGTATGTTGCAGAGCTTTTGGGTGTTGCTCCTCCCACCGGCATTGAGACAATTTGCTGAGTAGATTCTTTAATTTCTTTTTCTTTTTTCTGTTGTTCTTTTTCTTTATGTTTATGTGCTGCACGGGTCATTCTCTGTTCTTTAACCTCTGCTTGAG